GGGTGAGGATCTATCCCAAACTCAGCATTGATTGCTTCTAACTTTTCTTTGGTCAGTCTGATCAAATTCTGAATGTTGCGAATCTGTAATGGAAATAAAAATGCATGATTACCACCAGATCAAATGTTAAATGTATCCACATATTTATTTACTCATCCTTAATACTACCACTTCTAATATGATTAAATGAATGTCTGATGGTATTCAAAGCATACCTAGAAGGGACTTCTTTTAAATCCTTCTGAATGGCACAACATGCACATTTGAAACCTGACACAGGGGTATGAGACTGCAAACTTGTATCAACACTAAAGACAGCAAGAGAACCATGGCATTGGGCACAAAGTAGGTAAGGAGTAAAATGCAAAGTTGACAATTCTACACATTCATGTGCATTGTATGTATTATTTAGAACATTCCTATTGTTTACAATTGTTTTTTTTTTTATTGTTAATTGGGCAGACAGAAGATCTCCACCTTTTGAATACTGTCTTGTTGGCAAATCTGAAAATGGCATTTCAGATCAGAGAGTTAAATAAATGGGGTGTTTTGTCTGACATACTAGTAAGTCAGTTAAATACTTAGAATGCAGGGGACTTCATTAAATGTAAGGATGTGACCCAAGTTTTCTGGGCCAGTATGATATTATAATCATAAGCAAGACCAGTCTTTTGTATTAAAAGATACGATAAATAAAAGAGCTATAGAAGCTTAGTAAAGATAACCATCACAATAAGATCCCAGTTCTTAAAAACGAGTAATACCACAACAATAATAACAATAAATTAAATATAAATAGGGTTTGGGTTTGCAGCATCTTGAATTTTCAAAATGAACAGATTTTATGGCATTGTCGCGAAAATCAAAAACATCTTGACAGCAATACCAAGAAGACATCAGGATCATGTGTCGCTTACACAGTAAGTAAAACGAAGACCCGCACTCTATCAGCTCGAACCTTTTTCTAATGTCATTCATTTGAGAATTGCAATTTTACCTTGACGTCTAACAAGACGCGTCTCATTAGTGAAATTACCTTCAAACAGAAGTTGCTACAGCTAACGAAAATTAAGCTTTTGGTGAGCACATTACCTCCTCTTGCTTTGAAGTTGTCTCAAAGATGTCCTGGCCATTTTCACTGCCGCCAATAGTGAACTTAGGCATATCTCCATTGTAAGCTCCCTGCTTTACGGCAGCCATAATGGGATGTTAGAAGCAACTCGCGAGAAATCTCTTCAGTTCACGAGATCTGTCATATGACTGGACACCAGGTGTCTCTGACTGTGCTGATAATCCAGATAAAAGATTTCATTGTTTAAAGTATATTTAGAGCAGTGCTGAGCTTCCGCAGACTTGATTTAAATACAAACTGCTGAACTTACTAGGAACAGATTCAGATTCGACTCATTCGACCTATTACGGCGAGGTGCGGTGAGAGCCGAGAGCTTTTATCGGGATAAGCTGCCTTTCAGAGATGTTACTGCTCAGACCTCAATGGGCCGTGGCAGGCTAGTTATATAACGTGTTTACGCAACAAACGAAAAAAAAAATGATACGCATTAAAAGCGTACCTTAGCGTCGTTTTAGCACATTCATCATATACCTGGCGTGTACTTTATGTTTGTACTTACACAAACGTTTACCTGCATGTATATGCCGTAATTCTTAAACAAAAAAAAAAAAAAAAAACTTTCGTTTGTTTGCGTATGTGTAGACCTAAATTTTTCCATACGTTTGGTTGGCGCTACCACTGATTCTCAATATATAGGTCCAGGGGCGGATCCAGGATTATTTGAAGGGGGGTTCCGCGGGTGCGAAGCCGACCCTTCTGACCCCCCCCCCCCCCCCCCCGGCCCCACATCCGTCACTGAGGTCCATTTGAAGAAAATAGAAATGCGAAAAATAAAGTTAAAAGTTATATTCGCAAATTATACTTCTTTTAAAACTATGGTGGCAGAAAGTGATAAATGTATAGCATGGCATGAAAATCTTTTCCGATTCATGCCGGGCGAAACCGCGAAAGGAGCCTCAAACTATTTGTTGCGCTATTTAAAATAAACATTCGAAAAATTTTCTGAGACTTTAGACATACTCACTTTCTGACAAGTTGCAAAGTTTCTACTTTAATAAAAATAAACTAGATCGATTGGAGAATGTGAGATGGTGCTGCCAGCGACAGTAACGAAGGTTTAAATTTTAGTACATTTACGCGTTTTGTGTCAGAACAGATATCTAGCAGTTATTTTTTCAGTGATTTAAACTGCTTTACTGATGTAAGTAAAATTCTACGCGGACAAACTATTCTTCCACTCGCCTGCTTTTAATAAAATTAAAAAGCAATATTAAACGGACCTGCTTATTGAGAATCAGTGTTTACGCTATTGTGTGACAGGGCCCTAAAGGACATTTGCAATTCATCGTAGATGGCACAAAAAATGTCAGTGTTACCGTACTCAAAACGTTTACCATATATTTCCCACAGTGTTTTTTATTGTTTTCTAACGTTTATGCTTAAATGCATTCAGTAACGCAGTTTTTTATTTACTGTTAGATAACTGCTTATATCAAAACGACTCAGAGACATTTGCAAACACGTGTAGTAGAACTTAATCACTTTCCTTTCTTCTTTCAAATGAACAAGGTTAGGGTCTTTGTACGACACATACAGTGGTAACTAAAAAGTGAGGTTCACCAAAGTTTTGATTTCCAGGATTCGGTCACACCAGGACCAAATTTTAAATACTTTGAAAATTGATTCAATTGATTCTGTTTTTTGAAAAAAAAGACCCGTAATTCAGATTTCCGAAAATGATGATGGTAGTCTGCCTAGATAGCGTAGTTTGTGCCCGTCAAAAATACAGTTGTTCTTAGGCATGCTACCCAGTTTCTTCCGAAAGTTTTTGCAAACGGATTGTTATCTTGGGATCCGATATATATTTCAAATGTATCTTTGTTTTCTATTCTTTCCGTTTCAATCAATAATAGGCTCAAAGCGTGTGCTAGACAGTGTATTGAATTTTTTTTTACACATATCAACATTACTTACATCTCCGGTTGATGCCAGTATCCACGTTTTTTCTGATCGTGTACACTTTTTTTGGTGGCAAAGCTACATCTGAAACGAATTTAGGGCGTTAAAATTTTTTCTTCGTCATTTTTTAGATCAAAAATTTAATTACTTTGTCTTTCGCAACATAGTTCCTTGCATGATAACATATTTAAATATGTATTTTAAAATAAAGAATGTTGTTAAAATGTTTTGGGCAAGAAGAATTTTAAACACAAAAATTACAAAACGCTTTATTTGACACAAAAATAGCTTGTCTTCTTTTATAATTAACTGTTATGGGTAACATAAAACTTTGGCATAAAGATACACTCTCATAAATACAAACAAATCTAATCTCTCCATCCTTTTCAGAAAATGTAACAACTTTTTTTTCAATTTTTCAATTGCACCCGTTTAAACATTTACGTAATATATTAAAGGATCACAATGAACTACATGTATATGCAGCACGGAATACAATGCATTATCATTATAAGGTAATGAAGTTCACAAAGTAACTATCGAGTTATTTTGCACTGAACAACTCGAGATGAGATGTATAACATATGAACGTAACCTCTATCTGTGCGTCTGAAAGCACTGACCGGTATAGACTAGCCTGATTGTTCCTACCCTCTACCAGGGCCACAGATTGATATTTCAAAGATGTTCACAGATACGTCTCTAGATAAATTGACAGTCATTTTGGTCTGATGTCGATTGAGCAAAAAATGTCCACAAAAATAACTGAGACCCTGGTAGGGGGTAAATTGTTCCCAGGCTTTGCAATGTGAACATGCATATTCTGTTTACTTTCACGCTTCACTACGTTTACCCGTCTTTCAACGTGTCATTTGACATTGGCACAATAAACAACATATACTACACTGTATATATCTAAAAATTACACTGAATTGTCTATTTATTTATGATATTAAGCAACAAAAGTTGTTGAGATAAGTTCTGTGTCGATATGAAAACTTGTGAAAAGAGAGCTCAATACTACTGTAAAAAGTTACATTTTTAATCCTTTTATATTAACGGACATGCAATTTTGTCTAGGCCTAACTGACGGCATTGTGCCTCCCTTTCGTAAACTACAGCCGGTCTTCTGAAAAAAGTCGTCTAATAGACTAAACCGCTAGCTCCTAAATAGATTGAAATTTAAGTAAAATACGACTAGATGCAAAATCTTAATTTCTATACAGCATAATTAAAATTCAAAGTTGAGCTCGGGATAAATTACCATTTGCCCTGTATAGGCCTACCATTACAGGTGATACGTACAAAAAATGTACGTGCACAGGTCGCCGACTTGATCAAACCGCTGAATTTATATACCCTGCCCTATTGGTTAACTGCCTTTTTCATATTCTTTAAATCAGCCCGCTATGAAAACTTTACATAAAGAATAAATCCCAATGCTTTCCGTTTCCGGCAGATTCAGAGAAATAATTAATAACACATTAGATACTTTTTGGTAAAAGGTATACATCATTGATACAAACAAGAAACTGCAACGTTTTTGATAAAGAAAAAATATTCACTGTTGCCATTTGTCAAATAACAAAACGAACAATCAACTAAATATCTTGAGAAGTTGAGAACCAATCCTAAAGAACAGTAATAATGCTAATACACTCAAACGCAAATTAATAATTTTCCTGAAAAATTTTATGTAAATAATAACTGAAATGCTGATTCATTTGTTTGAAAATTTCGTTGGCCTCGCGTCAGAAAAGACATTGTTGTGCGTGTCTAAAAATGAAAAATCTTGAAAAAGTTATTTAACACAAAAAGTGAGACATTTGAACATTTTAAATAAATGCCACGTTTTAAAATAAGACTATCAAGTTAAATTTCGTTTTAATTAACAAATGAAAAAAACTTATTCAGTAACGTTTTGGAATATCACTTGCCTTTTTTATAATTTATAGCACCACTGAAGATATAACTAATCACTTATGCTACTTTAAGCTTTGCAAAATATACAGTTTCAGGGATCGTTGTTCAAAGCAATTAAAGAGACAAAACGTAAGATTTTATATTAACACAAGTATATAAACCTCTTCTCATAGAACTTATCTGAGGTATTAAGTAATGCTATCACTTCCTGAAAAACCTTGCCACATACATGTGCGTCTTAACCATCTTGACACAGTTTTTCTTAATTTTTATCACATGCAACCTGTAACTGAGGTCGAAAGGATTGCAGAATTTGAAAAAACAACATTACCTTTTTAATTTTCTCGCATTGTTACAGAGCTATTGTGAACATCAGGGAGGGTGGATCGAAGGTCGGTTAGTGACATAAAAATAGCCTTTGCCTCAGAAAAATTCATTAAATATAATTTTTTGATGAAAAATTATACACTGTGTATTTTCAACAGGAACTGTGCCTATAATCTAATGGACATCTAACATCCAGTTTTGTGGTTTAAATGAAAAAGAAAGTTCATGCAACACATACCACTGTATAAGAATAAATGACATAATTAAGTCTTTTAATCATTGTGCAGAAATCCCTGATAACTCATTACATATCTCAAATATTTAACTTTCAAATTTTTCATCTTAATTCACGGGCTTACCAAGACTTCATTTCACAAAAGAATTAAAGCCCCCCAAAATGCTCTTACTTCCTGTATAAGATATTCTTTGCTAGCATTTCAACCCAATAAATTAGTGCATTTGTAGGAGACTACATATATGTACACGTAAATTGTGCCTGCAGTACTCATGCAACCACCCTTTTTTCTAGGGTAAAGACCAAATCATGTTGTGATTTCTAACCTGGATACAAATATCTACAACTATCTGTATTCATCATATAAAGGTGGTCGTGCCAAAAATATCAAGCCCATTGACTCTTTATACTGAAAGGTAATAATAAATAATCTATTAAATAATATAATATTTAATTCAGGCAAAAACAATGGCCAATAAAAATAAATCACCTAATTTTACTGGCACAGCTTCTGTTTTACTATCTGAACATATTTTACTACATTTCTGTTGCTGCTACATCATGCAGAAAAATAGCTGCTTGAACAAATCTTGCACTTCCATCATTCTATAATACATAATAATGGGCTGATAATAATGAGACTCATAAGTTCAAAGTCTGAAATAAATAAAAAACAGTTTTCTCAGACAGAGAATTAATTGAGCACTGAATTCATTCATTCACACACACACTAAACTGATACTAATTCATTCCCAAAATTCCACTCTTCAATTCTTCAAAGTCGCACAGACATGGGATTGGTTGAGCAAAGATTCTCGTCATTCCTCTGATTCCTCACACTGCTAAGATAGAGGGCGCCTGTTGTGGCTGGACACATGGGGGAGCCACTGTCCGAATCTTTATCCATAGAGCTGTTCATCAAAGCTTCCTCTGAACCTTCGTCTGGTTCATTGTCCTCGTCGCCCAAGTATACTGGCAGGGTGGCCATATTGTTTGATGGCTGTATATCCAGGTACTCCTAAGATATAATGTAAAACAATGAGGTGTTACATGTATATGTATACCTGGTTCTGTAACCTGGTAAAGAATTTGTTCAGATCAAACACTTTGGCTGAGATTCACTAGCTAAAGTGATGTGTTTGTGTGTGTGTTTGTGTGTGTCACAGTGTTTGTGTGTGTGTGGAGGGGGGGGGGGGGTAGCCCCACCCTCCCCAACTTTTTCAATTCCATCAGTAATAATTGCAGGTAGTTAGAGAAAATGGCTTAATTATTAAGTGGAATATTCCTATCCCTCTTGCTATTTCATGTTTTTTAAAATGTCAAGACACCAACATTACAACATTGAATTAATTCTATCTTAAAAATTCTAAAATAAATCATCAGCAAAAAAAAAAAGAAAGATTATAATATCACTAAATTGCCTACTTTGTTAGCTACTAGCTGCAAGATTTTGTCAAATTTTTCTGCCAGCTCTTTGAAAGTACACCTTTCGGATGGAATCTCCTTCCAACAGTTCTGCATTATGTTATATCTGGAAAAAGAGAACAATGTCACCAATGTAATGCATTTGAGGTCGTCTGATGCAGGGTCCATAAGATGGCAGGAGAGAAGGGTGAACGGGGTGAGAAAGAACCTCCCTTTTGGCCGAAAAACAAGTCTTTTCTGAATCAAAATTTGATTTGTGTTCTATTCCTTTACTGAAATTAGTTCGACTATGAAAGGGAGTAAAAAGGTCCATTTTTTCAGAAAAAAAGCTTTTGAGACTGCAGCTTGAGGTCTGACTTTATCACCAGAGGTGAAACTTCTACCAGTCTGTTCTTATATTTATATCCACACATAATTCAAGATTTATTGGAAAGTAAGGAAGAACACCCACAATTAATTATCTGACTTTCACTAAAATGATCAAGGAGATCTGGATGTTTCAAGTTCTGTTATCACATATAAGCCTTGGTTTTATTTCAGAACAACAATTTTAGTTCAAAGTTACAATCGTTATGTAAATTCATGAAAATAGTAAACTGTTTGGATTTTGCCAAATCATTCTGCAATTTCTCTTTTTTCTGTTTTTCTTTCTCTAATGCCCCATTTTAATTAAGCACCAATTCATGGTATTGATCAATCAATCAGGTGAGTTCCTAAAATCTGGCAGCCATGGTGCCTTGCCAAACAGGAGACATTCCCTCTAACTTACATCTCCTGTCCGCAGTGTTCAGGGCGTGGCATCCGGTATCCTGATCTCAGCATCTCGTACATCTGCTCAGGGGGGATGCCTGGGTATGGGGTGCCGCCGAGGGTGGCCATTTCCCAGAGAACCACCCCATAGGACCAGACGTCACTCTTTGTCGTGTATTGGCCAGACAGGAGGGACTCGGGGCTCATCCACCGAAATGGCAGACGACCCTGCAGTGAAGTAAAATAAAAGGCATCAGGTCAGCATGGGGATAGGAGAAGTATGAAATTTTATTGGTTTGATAATATATTAAATTTTTTCTTTTGTTCTTTTCCTTTCATAATTTGTATAAAAGCATATTTCATATTTGTAAATAAATATACATTGTTACACTTACCACTTGCATCATACTTAAATTCCTCATATTGTAGTTATTGAAAAAGACATTCATATTATGTAACTGTGCTTAACTGATGCCAGTTTAAGTAAATTATAACAAATTCAAATTTCCAAGAAAAAATGCCCCCCTCTTGTCTTTATTATATATATCACCCTAGAACCACCTGCAGAAACAATCATACCTTGGATTCCTTGAAATAATATCCACTCTCGTAAGCCTCTCGTGCCAAACCAAAGTCCGAGACTTTGGCCACCATTGTTTCACTGATGAGGATGTTCCTTGCTGCCAGATCACGGTGGATGCACTGAAGAAAAATGTAATTTCTTTCAAACATTTGTATGATTTTTGGAGACAACCTTTACAAAAATGTTGTTCATCAATATTTTTTAAAAACTATGACGTATTACCTTTGTCTTGAAAAGGTCACTTAAGAACAAAGAAAAATGGGTATATATATTTGAACCTAAGAAAGTATATGTAACTGATTAAGCTTCAGCAAAAAACTCCTTTATATGTAAATTTTAAAAAATGGCCTTTAAAGAAATGCATTGTATTTAAACATTTTAAATGAGCTATGTTTTCGATTATGTGTCCAAAAGGCACAGCACTTGTATAATCAATTTTCAGGATTTAACTCAAAATCCTTCATATTACATGTATTGTGCATTTAACATTTCAGATATTATTTCCATGTGCCATTTATATTGGAAGACCATTAACTTAATATTGGTAAGTTCTGTTTGAAATAAAAAGAAAGAAGAAATTAAAGAAAACCTTCAGACTTTCCAAGTGGCTCATCCCCTTGGCAATCTGCCAGGCAAACGACAAGATGTCCTTGTCTTCAGTCACAATGAGAGGGTTTGTGGCATCCCTGTAAGCAAAGTCCAGCTGAAGGGACTTGTTCTTTAGGTAGTTCAGAAGATTTCCATGGGCTGCATACTCCATTATGATCAACAGCTGACCTGTTAACATAGAAAATGAAAAATTAAAGGTAATTCAGCTGTCTGATATTGGTAAAGTTTTATACATGCAATTAAGTTTATAATTCATGCTTTATCCATCCTTTGGTCTTTTTTTCTGTTTGTCTAATTAAAAAATGATCTCAACTAAAAGCTTTAGACAGATCTCAACTAAATTTGTTATGTATTCTCCCTGTGCAACCCATAAATAAATTTTAGCTATGCATTACTAGCAAAAGACTTTTTTAAAAAGCCAAAAATTTATGCAGATAATGGAAAAATGACAGTCGAAAATTTGCTTCATTTAGGTACTGGAAAATTAAGTATCATTTATTCCTCCATACCGCCATATGTGCAAGCTCCGAGCAGGTTGATTACATTAGGATGGTTACCAACATAAATCATCTGGTCCAGCTCCACCTTCAGCGCCTCTTTCTCCTCTGCTGTTGCTCGCTCTGAAAAAGACAACCATAAATTAATAAGGACTATTAATTACCAAACCTAGAAGACAGCATATATCTAAAACAGATATGTGTTGCTAATAACGTTTTGCTTTCAGAGTTAAAATGATAAAATGTTATGATATATAATCATATATAGGTACAGGTATATGTACATGAAAGCCATTATGGGTCCAAGGAGTCATAAACAAGTATTATCTGATCAAGTCTGTCAAGTAACCTAGCGATTTGAAATTGTACAAGCCTTTAGATAATTTCCAAGATCCAAGATCTATACAAAATGACAGTCAACTACATGACTGTGAGAACAGAATTTTATTTGCCTTTTGTCATATTTTAATTGGCACTGGTGTTTACATTTATTTGTAACACAACCATACCTCTCAGTGTTTTGACAGCAACCTTTTCTGGCTTCACCACACTGTCCAAACCCTCAGCCCAAGCCTCGTGGACTTGCCCAAACGCCCCCTGACCTAGGATACGGCCAATCTTAAGATTTTTCTTTGGAAATTCCCACTGTAAATATTGCTTCTTATCAAAGTACAGGTTGTCCACCGAGTGATGTCTGATACTGAGGGCAGGCTCACTGGCTTCCTGTGGAGATATGGGTAAAACAGCCATGTTTTAATATTTAATTTTAAATTAAAATTAAGAATCATGGTTGTTCTATTTGATGGACCTAATAAGATTATCCAAGAAAATGTCAAATGATTTTTTAATTGGTACTGGTACTGAATTGCACAATACAATTATTTTTTAAAAACCATAAACAGAAGTACTTTCAAAGGTACAAAACTGGTCATGTGCCATTTCTCATAGTACCAGCTAGAGTGCTTCATGTTGGCACTAGAATAATAGTAATAAGAATACAACCATCATCTTTGAGGAAAGTGAAGGGTATCAACTTACATCATACAGATCGTTGACTGAGAACTTGCTGGCTTTCTTATTCCTCCTGAACAAAAACAGGGCAGTCATGATGCCCAAAATCACCATTCCTGCAAGACCTGTGATGACTCCCAGAACCATGCCAACTGAAAACAAAAAAGATGTTTCCTAAAGTGAAACTTGCTAAGGTAAACTTGTTATATACATTTTATATATGTATGTGTGTGTGTGTGTGTGTGTGTGTGTGTGTTCTGGGTAGACATACTCAGAATGTCTGTCTGCCTTTCTTTCTGTCCGTCTGTCTGTCTGTCCAACATATTACTTCACTGTAAATGTGCAGTAATTTTAATTACTTAAAAGTACTAATATATAGGAATTATTCTTGAATTCATCGTAGCCTTTTCTTAGGATTAAGATCCTTGTGCAGAATGTATAATTGAAGTTGTCAATGTGTATGCATGCAGTGCATGACTTCAGAAATCAACACAAAAAATTCCTTTAGTCTGTATTATCGGGGGCGTCTCGATAGTCCGAAGGTTCATTGGTCCGAAAAGTGGTAACATTTTCATCAATTTTTTAATCAAGGGTTCATTGGTCCGAAGGTTCTATAGTGAATATTCGGACCAATGAACCTTCGGACTATTGAGCCTTCGGACTATTGCTACGGCCCCGTATTATCAATATGGTTGGCTCAGTCAGCCTGGAGAAATGTTTACCAGTGTGATTTGGCTCCTGTCTCTGCTCCACACTGTTGTTTATCACTGGTACTAAATCAACCTTATACCCTGGGGGTGGAGTCTGCAACCCTACGGGAAAGACAGAGACAAATGATTGATTAAATTGTTTGTTCACGATTAACATTTACAAAAAAATGCTAACTTTAGGGTAAAAAAATGGGCCTACTTATGATATGATTGTCTTAATGTCTTAAATTTTCAACTTTTCAGACACATTACTAGTCATAATTTTAAGATATTATTTTGAGTCTAAGTTTTAAAAAATTACCTGCAGTTTATAAGTTGACTTTGCAAAAGATGCCTTTCCATCCCTTTTTTTTTTTTTTTTTTTTTTTTTTTTTTTTTTTTTTTGTCATTTACCAGTCTTTACAGTTCATTATTTAAACCATCTGGAGAGAGAGAGAGAGAGAGAGAGAGAGAGAGAGAGAGAGAGAGAGAGAGAG